CATAAATGGTATTAAATNAATAATAGTATAGTGTGGGGAGACAGGCAGTAAACATGCACGCAAACACAACATAATCATAAATGGTATTAAATGCTACAGGGAGAAAGAATGAGGTATCTGATGTAGAATAATGAAAGAGGCCAGAGAAGAACTCAGTATTTTTCATATGAACCTTGAAAACCTCTAGTTTTGGTAATTTATAGATGTGTTAAAATGTACAGTAAACATCTTTTATATTTTATAGTACCAGCAAAACTTGATAATCATTTATGTTTTCCCCTGTTTACTTTTCTCTCTTACCGTTGTCCATTCAAACCAAAACTGTTTATTCACACTGTGTGTGAAATTCATGGTGTATGTTAGTTTCTATTAGATCATTGACCACAAACATTTGTTTGTATTTCAGCTGAATAAAAAGACCCAAGGGATGTTATAACAAAGAGCACACATTCACTTATCTTACTCCCTCCTCCATGCTCATTCAGCCAAGTGAAGTGATTTAATTATTCGTGCATAAAGTAGCAAATTATGTTAGAACTACTCTAAGAATAGGTTTTCTAGAATTTCCATAAAAATCTGAAGAGTGTTTCATTTTTGCTGAATTTCCATTTAGTCAAATTTACCTAAAGCTAACAGGGTAGTAACTTCCACAGAAATCTAGGGTTTCAGTTGTGTGAGTTCCTGAGTCTCCTTTAGAAACTGAAAAGTCTGTATATGTTATGCACTCCTTTTATCTTGAAAAACTTTATTGTATGTTATATGACCAGAGACCAACCAGAGCAAGAATGAGAAGATAGAGCAAGTCATAATTTCATTGTTGATTGAAAGTTTCCCTCTCTGTTAAATGTTGTAGGGGGGAAAGCATCTTGCCTATGTTTATCTGCATTCCATCATGTTAAACATACTAGGAAAAAATGTTAAACACTAATTAGTCCTATTCATATTTCACCAAAGTTTCATTTATTCACAATGAAAGAGCTTTTTGTTCCTTTTATCAGAATAAATCGTCATATTACTACTATTAGGATTTTTAGCTATATAGTAGTATATGTGCCTTATACTTCTCAATTATAATCCTCAGTCCTAAAAATCTACTTAAAATTTTGTGTGTTTTTTTTCCTTTTGCATTTATCAATTTTCTGGCTAGAAGACATTTTTATAGGTAATTAGAATAAAAAATAACAGATGAATGTCTTTGCCTTTCACCAAGGGAACTAGATGTGAGGCACATTCCTTATGAATTGCTGGAAAAGGGATATCATTGATAGCAGTATCTTAATATATTGTTTGGGAATTTCTAGAAATTAGCTGAATTCCATTACTCTTAACTGTGGACAGTCATTGGGATCCTTTTTATGCTACTCTCTTGGGTGAAAACTGTGTTGTAGAAGACTGCACTTTCAGCTCCTAGTCAGCTAGGAATCCTGCTTGCCAAAGAACTCAGTTTATGCTGTAGTGTGACTTTCATTTTACTGTATTTTGAAGGTGGTTTTGCTGTATCTGTGAGTTCACAAAAAGGGAATTTTAAGTGTTTAGGTAAATTATCACTGGGATTGTGGACTTACCAGATTTAGACCATGCATTCCACACATGTCCAATTTCTCTGAAATATTATATGATGCCCAATATGTCTGAAATATTGCACGGGACTAGTTATACTAAAATATTATGTTTTTTTATCTGAAATGCAAATTTAACTGGGCATCCAGCATTTTATCTGACATACCTACTAAGGTAACTGTTGAGAGTGAAATGGGGCACTTTTAATAATTATGCCAGGCCAGAGGCATAAATTGGGACTATCCTGGGAAACTGGAAAAAGTATGGTCAACCTAATAATAGAGGCTTTTTAAGTATTTTAAATTATTGATTATATGTAGTCATAAGCAATCACATCTCTGTCATTAATGTAAATGTGTATTGCTTTGTAATTTCATATTTAAAAATTTGATTGAGGCACCTTAAAAACTATGGTGGCCTAATCGCTAGTTCAACCTTGACGTTTTCTTATTTTGGAAGAGTTTGAGAAGGATTGGTATTTTTATTTTTTAGTATTGAAATTTTTTAAATACCAGTTTTAAAGAGAATTAAAGTTCTTTTTTGTGAGTAAAATGAGGCTACCACTAGTACATGAAATTTTACACTTTAAAATTTTTAAATTATTTCTTCTTTATGTTATTTATGTATTTTACCATCAGCAGTTATAACTTAAGACAAGAAATTCATGTTTTCTGTCTTGTGTTTGGCTTAATTCTTCTCTTTTAACCTATTTTTGTTTTGGGGTATTTAATAAATACAGTATTCTCCCCTTATCCACAAGGAATATAGTCCAAGACCCCCAGTGGGTACTTAAAACTGTGGATAGTATCTAACCCTATATATACTGTGCTATTTCCTTTACATATATACCTAAGATAAAGTTTAATTTATAAATTAGGCATGGTAAGAGATTACAACAATAAATAATGAAGTAGAAAAATTATAACAATATGCTATAATAAAAGTTATATGAATGTGGTCCGTCTCTGTCTGATAACAGATCTGATAACAGAGGACTACTGAGTGACTGTCAGGGAGCGTATACAGCGTGGAGACGCTATACAAAGGAATGATTCACGTCTTAGGTGGGACAGAGTGGGCAGTGCAAGATTTCATCATGGTACTCAGAATGGTACACAATTTAAAACTTATGAATTGTTTGTACCTGGAATTTTTCATTTAATGTTTTCGTACCGAGGTTGTCTATAACTGAAACCACAGAAAATGAAACTGCAGATAATGGGGACTACAGTAGCCTATTATTCATATTTAGCTTAACCTTCTTATTTTGTATGCAGTTGTATAGCCTTTTATCTTACCTTGTTCAGCCTAACTTCGTTCTAAAAATTTATCCACAAATATTTGAGTACCTGTTACATGCCAGTATATTGTTATAATTTTCCTACTCAGCAGTGGTCTGCTGAGTGCTGTAGTGAATGTGGCATGGGCTGTAACTTGGTCGTCTCCTCAAGGAGCTTCAAGTCTGGGCTATGGGTGTCTCTCCACAGCTTTGTGTATTTCAGTTGGTCTTTTCTCTGCTTCTTCAGCCCTGTATCTCTTTTGAAGTATGATGATTATTATTAGTATGTCAGGAATAGGTGTACCATGGTTTTGAATAGTAATTGTGGTTTTTTTGTCTTATTCCAACATTTGTTCTGTTAATTTACTAAATTTTATTGGAGTTTCATCTAAATTAATGATACATCTTCAGGAAACTTCTAGATCATTTTTCTGTATTATAAGTTATAGGTTGGAATAAAAGTGTATCAAAGTCTGATATACTTGAACTGCCTGGAACCTTCGAGCAATGAGTTGACCCAGATAACAGTTTTCCAGATTCTTTTATGTTTTAACACTTAACAGGATTAATGTCTGGTGTCTCTAGGAAACATTTTCTTTAAAAGTATTTTCTTGTTTTGTGTGTTAACCACTTGTTTTATATAATAATGTTAGTTAATTATTTTAATATATATTTCACATTGCCTATTTTTGGTTATTTTGAAAAGATACAAAATTATTTCTACTTTATACTCACATGGTAGAAAATTTATATGGTATGAAAGCTTATATAGTGCAAAGCCATCTCTGTCTCCTCACCCATGCTCCTCATAACCAGTTTTTTTATCAGTACTTTGTACATCCTTCCTGGTACTGCATGTACAGGTCATTATTTATATACTTTTTTCTTTTACACAAATGTTAACACCATACACAGTTATGTACTTTGCTTTTTTCACATAACACTGTATTTTGGGCATTATTCCTTATCAAAACATAGAGTCTTATTTATTTTTTTACAGCTGTATAGTATTCCCGTGTTATAAGGCCTCTACTAATCACTTTTTTATTGTTTTCAATGATTTGCTATTATATGAAATACCTTGCTTGAGAAATACCTTCATAACATACCTCATTTTACACGTGTGCAACTCAGCTAGCATGAGTATATGTCATTCCTAGAAGAGGATTTCCTGGGTCAGAGTACACTCATGAATACTTGCGTGCATAAAATGTGTTTGTTTTTATTTAGTCTAAAGGTAATATGTGTTTGTGCTTCAAAACTTACAACATTTCAAATATTACCAAAAAGAATAAAATGAAAAGTAGATTATCCAAACTCCCACTTCCCAGATGTAACACTTTCTTGTCTATCTATCTTGTAGTTATCAATTTGCCTATTTTTTTCTTCTTTGTACATAAACGGTTGTATTTTATCCCATTGTATATATATACCATCATTTGTCCATTAAGTTCCTTATTGGTGAACATTTAATATGTCCCCAGATCTTTTTTGATGCTACTGACAAAGCTGCAGTGAAAAACCTTGCAGATATCTTTGCATACATATGGATGTGTTTCAATCAGATAGATTCCTAGAATCAAGGAATACATGCATTTTTAATTTTGATTAGTGTTGCTAACTGCTCTCCAAAGAATAGTTCCATTTGATCCTTCCACTAGTATATCCTTGCTGACTTGGCTATTATCAAACTTTTTAATCTTTACCAATTTAGTAAGGGTCAAAGAGAAATCTTATTCTTATTGGAATTTCTCGTATAGTCGTGTTTATTACAAACATTTTTTCCTCAGTTTTTCATTTTATACCATGTGTATGGTCTATGAATATGCATAATTTGACCCTAAAGGGATGAAGGGAGGGTGGTGAATGGTGGGAGTGAGTTATTGGGGGATTCAGATCAAACTACTAAATCCTTTTAAAATAAAAAAATATATAGTATACCTGAAACTAATATAATATGTCAGTTATACTTCAGTTTTTAAAAAATGGTCTTTGTCAAACTAAAAAAATTTTTTAAGAAAAACATAACAAATGATATAGTACTTTTATCTTCTTAGAGGAAAGGAGATCCAAATAAATAAAAGATTGTATGGTACTGAGTTTGTATGAGGTGTAATAACCATACTACTAATACATTTGTTTTTTATATTTTTCCCTCCAGAGGTTTTGTCAGCTATGATTAGTGTGCTGTTGGTTTATATACTAATGGGATTCCTCCTATATGAAGCTGTCCAAAGAACTATCCATATGAAATATGAAATAAATGGAGATATAATGCTTATTACCGCAGCTGTTGGAGTTGCAGTTAACGTAATGTAAGCTCTATTTAAAAAATTTTTTTCAATAGGCTTTACTTTTTAGAGCATTTTTAGGTTCACAGCGAAACTGAGAGGAAGGTACAGAGATTTCCCATATACTTCCTGCCCCCACATGTGCACAACCTCCCCCATTATCAGCATCCTTCACCAGAGTGGTATGTTGTTACAATTGATGAACCTACATTTTCATCATAATCACCCAAAGTCCATAGTTTATCTTAAAGTTCACTCCTGGTGGTGTACGTTAATGGGTTTGGACAAATGTATAGTGACATGTATCCACCATTATGGTAGCATACACTCTATATTGTTTTCACAATATTCTCAAATACTATGAATTTACATTCGATAATATGTGGTGCTATTTTAACATATTTATAAATTATATAGTACATCAGATTTTCTTATAAATGCTAATAAAACACTTGGAATTATAAATTCCTCATTAGTTTGCTCAGGTATACTGAAGTTTGACTAACAATCAGGAATTTAAATAGGACAACGTGTTTTTTACTTTAATTTTTATAATACTTCTATGTTGAGATTTTAACTACCAACTTTTTTCCTAAAAACTATGAAATTTTTAAGTTATATACTTAATCATTTGGATCAGGGGTCAGCAAACTTTTTCTGTAAAGGGCTAGATAGTAAATATTTAGGCTTTTAGAGCCATACAGTCTTTTGCAGCTACTTAGAAAGCAGCCACATTCAATATGTACACAAATGAGCATGGCTGTGTTCCAGTAAAACTTTATTTACAAAAACAGGCTGTGGGCCAAATATGGTCTACAGACCATGGTTTGCCTGTCCATCTAGTGGTTTCTATTTGTACTTAGAATAAAATCAAAAGTCCTTACCATGGCCTTTTTAATAAGATCCTTTGTACTTTCCAACTCATTTCCTAACACTCTTGCTCACTTTACTCTAGCTACAATGGCTGCCTTGCTTTTTTTAAGCACATAGAGTACATTTGCACCAGAGCCTTTGCCCTGGTATTCCTTCTGCCTAGAACACTTTTCCACCACAGCTTGCCTCCTGACTTCATTCCAGTCTCTGCTCTCATGAAATATCTGAGGCCTTCTCTGACCACTCTCCCCATCACTCTCCATCCCCTAGCAATGCTTTACTTTTCTTCAAAGCATTCTCATCACCTAGCAGTATACTAGGTATTTATTTGTTTACTTCTCTGCCTTCCCTACTAGAACATAAGCTCTAGGGGGATAGGGATCTGTCGGTCTTAGTTACTCTTTTGACCCCAGCACCTAAAATAGTACCTGCATAATAAGTGCTCAAATATTTAGTAAATGAATGAGTTCCGTGTTGCCTCATTCAGGTCTGATTAGTCACATGTATTTTTATCAATAGTGTTAGGAATAATAATAATGTTTTCTTTTATTTTTAACAGAATGGGGTTTCTGTTGAACCAGTCTGGTCACCATCACGCCCATTCCCACTCCCTGCCTTCAAATTCTTCTACCACAAGTCCTGGGTGTGGACACAACCATGGGCAGGATAGCTTGGCAGTGAGAGCTGCGTTTGTGCATGCTTTGGGGGATTTGGTACAAAGTGTTGGTGTGCTAATAGCTGCCTACATCATACGATTCAAGGTACTATGATTGCTAATTTTTCTATTTTAAAATATATTTAATTTCAACATTAAAACTAAAACTGATTGTTTTTATCAGTATACTGGCCACCAGTGCCACTCCTGTTCATTTTGCACTTATGAGGCCTAACTGAGCCACCAGTCTATATAACTCTTTTGTTAGCACTGAACACAATAGTATCACATCACGAGGTAACTTATCTGTAGCTGGCTTTGGTAGTGCCTTTACTGGAGAAATTGATTTTAAGCCTTATTATTTAACTGCCAGGTGCTGGAATCTGCATGTAGTAAAATCCAGAAACCTGGGTTCTAGTGTTGGCTCTGCCATTAGTGCTTTGACCTCGAGCAAGTCCCTTAACTCTAAATTTGAGTCCCCTCCTCTTAAATAGGAGGGGCTTAAATCCAACTGGTGACTGCTAAAACTGCTGCTCTGACATCTGTGGTTCTGGATGGGGGATTTAGAGAAGGTGCGGACGAAAATAGCAGAACCAACCGGAACCTTCTGGAAATGGGTCCCGTGAGGAAAGGCATTTAAGCAGTCTAGGGAAGAGTTTCTCAGTGGCAGGGTCCAGGTTTTAAAGCTATTCTGCAGTCCTGCTAAAGAACAGGGGACAGAGCATACCTTAGTTTGCTTTACAGTCTGTTTTATGTCTGTCAGTATCTAATCACACAGTTTTGATCTATCACCTCACAGCCAGAATACAAGATTGCCGATCCCATCTGTACATACGTATTTTCATTACTTGTGGCTTTTACAACATTTCGCATCATATGGGACACAGTAGTTATAATGCTAGAAGGTAAGATCTCACTCATATTCCATTTGTGGCTGCATTACTTCCCTAAGTGAAGTTGGGGGTCTTGGGGATACACAGTGGGAAGGAGCCATGTCTTGTCTTTTTTTTACTGACACTTATTAGGCTACAGTAACACCACCTTACCTGTGCATAAGGTGTGAGAATCCATGCACTCCCTCCCATCTGTCACCCATTTGGTTCTTATAATAGCTGAGAAAAGTAGGTAAGGCAGACATCAGCATCCCCGTTGGCCAACAAGGAAACTGAGGCTTATTAGGGTAGCCTAACGTCATTACAGCCAAGCTGCGAATCAGCTGTGGCGCTAGGACAAGAATGCAGCTTTTGATTCTTAATACAAGTATGTTTAGTGGCTTATTTATTAATTTCTTAATTTCAGTTTAACTTGCTACTTTGTTATGTTTTCAGCATCCCTGCCTTACTAATGTTACATAAGCATGTAAATATAAGTTCTCGACAGTAGGTTAGCCATCACTGGATGTTCCTTTCTGTTTGTTTGTCTGTTCCAGCTTATTTGTTAAATGAAGTATCCTGGGTTGATTAACATTCCTTTTTATTGAGAGTGAACATTGTTAAAGTGTTTATTAACCTTTTGTGTATATCCTGCTATATGTTTGCATGGTTTATCTTAAATTATTAATATATTTTAAAGTGTTCATTTAAAATGAATTTAGCAAAGCCAGTTGGTTGTTTTTTTAAAGTCCTACCAGTAATGTATAACTTCCCCCCCA